AAAACTAGCATTGGTGTTGCAGCTCATTTAGAGAATATTTTAAACTTAGAAATTTCTTTACAATGGAAACTAACCCACATTTACTATTTGATTATCAATGCAATAATCTACTATGAATATTCAATTGAATAATTAAACCGTAAATTTTTGCATGATTCTGTGACGGACGAATCGGCAAGCACAACGGCCATTGACAATAAAATTGGCATTACCGAAATTACTGATAGACTACGAATCGCATTACACACAATTGACGTCACCTATAAGTAGTTTGGTTGTTACGACGTATTTAAAGATACCGAAAAAATATTGTGAAGTACAAGATTTATTATAATATTAAGGTCATAGTTATAATAAATAATACGTGAAGCAAAAACTTTGTATCCCTTTTTACGAAAATTGCGCGGACGGAGGAGTATGAAATTTTCCACATTTATAGAGAATATAGAGAAGAAGTGCACAATGCTAATATTTTTTTTAAATAATGCATAAAAGATACATTAAACCAATAAAGAAAACATTACACACACTACATACCATGTATTTGACGCACACACGCATGCATACTATTTATTGTCAAACTTTGTTCTTGACGTCTGTTGTCAAATTGAGAGTAGATTAAATATTTTTTGTCTTTAATAATATTTTTTATAGTGTAGTCTTGGCAAAATTTGTGATTATTAAAGTAGAATCATAATAGGGTATAAACTTCCAATTCCAATTAATTATAGTCGATTTTCGATTACTGTGGGACCTCTAGTAGTTATAATTCGTCGATCGAGTTTTAATATATTAAATTTTTTTATATGATTTTATTTTATTTATTGGGCACCAACATGTTATTCATTAGCACAGAACATTCAGGTAACATATATATTGATTTCACACTAAATGCTAACATAATTACAGGTACCGACTGCATGCATTGGTAAAAAAAGCGGTTCGTTGTATAATACTAGAGAGAAAAAAAACTAGACATAACATTACATGAAAATCTTAATATTAATATAATAGTTATAATATAATATATGTAAATTTATAGGGGAATTGAATCTTCTACGATGGGGAACAAAGTGTGTTTTTGCGCTAATATAATGACTCAAAAAAATCTCATTGGAGTTTCGGAATAATTTTTATTTGTATTTGTAGATTTGAATCATATATGTCAGACTTAGGTTGGGAGGATTAGTAGCGATACGAGCTATTTATTGATCATATGATACATAGCTCCACCTTCTTGCTGCTACTGCTACATCCTATTAAAAAGAGATTTTTTACAATTTGAACCTTGGTATTCCTAAGTAGGTTTAAATACGACTAAATGCTTAAAACGACTTCCTTGTCGGTAGAATAAAGCAAAACAAGTATTTGTACAATTAAAACCAGTCGACAATCAGGTTATGTTAACGCGTCGGGGTTTTTTAATTAGATTTTTGCATATGATTCAGATTATTACATAATCGCGAAATGGACCATTGCGCGAAAGGAAATATTCAGGAAAAACCAACGAAAATACTGTATTAATATTAGTATGTTTTAAACGTGTTTTGGAACATGAAATTAGCAAAGACCTCGGACTCGCGATAAACAGATCTAAAACAAAGGTCATGATCGTTGATCGCACAGGCAGACTGGAGCTCAGCGGTACACTTAATTTAGAAGTAACGGACAACTTTGTTTACCTGGGCTCCAACATCAGCAACAATGGCTCTTGTGAACCGGAAATTCGCAGACGGATTGGGATGGCAAAAGGTGCCATGTCTCAGCTGGACAAAATATGGAAGGACAAAAATATCTCTATGCACACCAAGAGCAACCTAGTCCGCACACTAGTGTTTTCAATATTCATATACGGAGCAGAGACATGGACTATAAAGAAAACTGACCGCAAGCGACCAAGAGTCAGGAACCCGACCCGTTGGACGGACCAGATTCGTGCAGCTCTGGATACCACAGTGCACGATGCTCTGCACTCAGCTGCAGATAGGAACAGATGGCGGTGCACTATAAAAAACAAACTGTTTCAAGGCCATGACCACGACCCTCAGTAATGAGGAAACCGACGCAAGGAGGAGAGGAGAGGAACATGAAAATTACGTATTAAGTTCAAATCGAGAATAAAGTCCAATAGAGTCGCATAAAATTTTATAAAATAATAAAATAAAGAGATTGAATGCTTGTACGTTGATTTTTGTGGTCATTGTATTTTTTTGTGCACGATAAATAATAATAATAATTTTCGATACAGTGTAGATATGCCATTAAGTTTGTTCGCGTAGTGAACACAAACTGCGACTATAATTAACTCATGAATTTCTCAAGAAAATACTCGGGAGTACAAAATCTAAGATATGTTTTTTTTCTTTTGTCAATAAGATCCCAAAGATCGAAGAGTGTGCAGCCCTTAAAATCAAAGATAGATGGATCTATTTATACGCTTAGCTTCTCCAGCCAATTAGACGTCATTGTTCCGAGAAAACATTGTCGATAATTTCATAAGATTTTTTTTCAGACTCATCACTCATTTGAGATCTTCTTAGAATGTGTCGTCAAAAATCCAAACTCTTGTTTGTTTAGTGACGACACGACAGCTCAAGGCTTGGAGTTCTACGACCTTTATACAAAGCGGCTTTCATCTAAACATCATTTTCTTAATGGCGTAGTATACTGGGGTAAGCCCGCACCGTTAGGTAACTCTGACCTGCCTATTTCTGTTTCGTGGCATGCGTTCTGATCTGAAGAGTGAGACAGCTATACTATACCATTGAGAACTTAGTGGAACTTCGTCTTGAACTATGATAAGCTCTATGTTGTTTTTTTTTGCTTAGATGGGTGGACGAGGTCACAGCCCACCTGGTGTTAAGTGGTTACTGGAGCCCATAGACATCTACAACGTAAATGCACCACCCCGCACCTTGAAATATAAGTTCTTAGGTCTCAAGTATAGTTACAACGGCTGCCCCACCCTTCAAACCGAATTACTGCTTCACGGCAGAAATAGGCAGGGTGGTGGTACCTGCTTCTGCGGACTCCCAAGAGGTCCTACCACCAGTAAATGTTCACTGTTGGAGAATTCTTTTTGTGACTTGTGTGGATTCGAAAAACCACTTCAAGCTACAAGTCCAAATGCTATCAGCCCATAGGCAGGAAAAAAGTGGTCAGATAAAAGCGCTCACGGCCCTATTATTAGTGGTTACTGGAGCCCATAGACATCAGCAATGTAAATGCCGCCACCCACATTGAAAAATGAGTTACTAAGGTCGCAATTAGATTTAGCAAAATATAAATATAATTTTCGTCTATGTATAGGTTATCTAAAACAAGAATTGGGTATTCTAATCGTTCGAAATCAAAATTAGAAGCCAAATGTGAAATTAAGCCGTAAAAGTGTTTTCCCCAAAATGATATAGCACTTTTAGTTCACTAGTTCCCCCCTTCTTTATATTTGGCACGAGGAAAATCTGTTTTGCGAATAATTTTTAATGCTTTCGTGAAATAAATTTTCCGGTCTACGTATTTTTCCACAAAAACTGTTCGGTGTTCAGTCGAAGTTTGTTTTCTTTTTGATAATTTAAATAGCGAAAATTAATGTGCCATTGTGCATTAATGAAGTGTAGTGTGAGTACTAATATTTTTAAGCATGTATATATTAATACGTGAAGGAAAAACTTTGTATCCCTTTTTACGAAAATTGTGCGAATGGAGAAGTATGAAATTTCCCACACTTATAGAGAATATAGAGAAGGAGTGCACAATGCATTTTTTTTAAATTATGCATTAATAATACATTAAATCAATAAAAAAAACATTATACCGACTACCATGTATTTGACGCACACACGCATTCATACTATTTATTTATTGTCAAACTTTTGTTCTTGACGTCTGTGGTCAAATTGAGAATATATTAAATATTGTTTGTCTTTATTAATATTTTTCTATAGTGTATTCTTGGCGAAATTTGTGATTATAAAAGTATGAATATTCTTTGAAAATAGAATCATAATAGTGTACAAACTTATAATTTCAATTAATTATAGTCGAATTTCGACTACCGGACGACCACTAGTTTAAATTTATTGAACAAAGTGCTTTATAGTAATTTCCTTATTATGATATTTCGTCATATAATCCAGGTTGAAATTTTTATGTATCTATATGCTATTATTTTTCCATTTTACGGTTGCGAACCGAAAGATATCACTGTTCTCGATAATGCTGCTTACTTTGCCTTAGAATTCTGAATTTATTTTAATTAGGTGCTATCGTGAATACTTTATCTCTCTATCTCTTCCTGTGTCCTTCTCTTTCTCTATAACTAATTTTAAAGCAAGGTGGTAATAGTACCATTCTGCTACGAAGCAACTATGTGACTATCTACTACCTATGAACTATCTACTGATCGAAATAGTTGATAGACAAATGCAACTGAAATATTGTCATAACTCATCGTGGAAGGCATCGGCGTCTATGATCCCCTATGGTCACTTATCATCAAATAGATCTACAGCTCGTTATATATAACTACAATTACGTTAGCTTATTTTGGCTAAATATTACGGAACCCCCGTGTCATTCATTCTGTATTATTATAGTGCTTACCAACAACAAATAAAATTCAAATCAGAACACATCACCGAACAAACTGGGTGATGCGGCCGAGTCTTTTTTCCCTTCCTATTCACTGGTAGCCTATGATGCTATTCAAGCTACGCCTGGACGGGTAGGTGAAGCTCACGGACTCAACTTGAGAATTTGCTAAAACTAGCCCTTAGCAAGAGAATTGCTTTGCAGAATCAACCACCGGATCGGAATCGTGACCCACTGAGAATATCCGGCGAGAAAGTCAGTGGGCAACGCGAGTTGTCAGCTCTTACAATACGCCCGATCACCGCTTTTTGTAGAGTAAGGCATCCTGTTGGATACCCAATTAATCCGTACACTTTGTAATATATTTTTTTCGGTAATCATAATATTAAATACACAAATATAGAACTTACTTGAAATTTGTTATGGTGTAGCGGGCTATTTAGTTTTGAATTATTATTCTGTGAGTTCGGGGTGCCGAAAACCATTTCCAGCAGTTCATTGTCGATTTTATTCACATTCCTCGCTTCCTTCGGTGATTCGTTGATGATTTCCAGCTTTGTTGGTTCTTTCGCCATTTTCACTTAATTTGATTTAACAACAACAAAAAACGGAGTTTTTTTATTTTTTATTTAAAGTATAGAATAAAAATCCCACTGTTAAGTTTTAATTATTAGTTTTCGCAAAAGTTATTTGTTGTCTTGATTGCGTGGCTAAATGCGTGCGTACCCGACAAAATTCGTGGCGCGACTATTCCAACTGATTATGTCTGCGCGTTGACTTATGTTTGACTACTTGTTTAATGTTGATGTTCACACATTTTATATCCAATTATTAAATGACTCTGATCAGTACACAGTGTATCTGGGAATTCACTAATTTACATACAATGTAATTTCGTGATATAATGACGACATCAGTCAGCAAGTCATTGTATAAAATTTTCTTTTTGGTTTTAATCCGAAGTTTTCCTCAATTTTCCCGTTCTTCAACTAGCAGTATATCAACTGTTTGACGAATAAGTTTTTAAATAACAAAAACGTTTATACTGAAATTTTATTTAATGAAAGTATTAAATAATTTTATTATTATTAATATTTAGTATTATTTTAATTAATGAAAATTTTATTTAACGAAATTATTAAATAATTTTATTATTATTAATATTTAGTATTATTTTAATTAATGAAAATTTTATTTAATGAAAGTATTGTATAAAATCTTGAGACGGTTTCATCATTCATAATTGACATTATCGGAAAGCAGGAGAATAAATTTGATGGATTTTTATAAGGAATATTCTAATTATAGGCTAAAATAGATAGTAGCCAATTAATAGTGAGAAATGATTAATTTTTTTAAATGTTTGACATGGATATCCCTTCATTATTCAAAATTATAATCCGGTACAATCTTGCCAAAGAGTATTGTTACAACACAATATATATATTTTGTAAATAATTCGTCAGCCGGAGAATGACATAATTTAAGAAATACGTCACGAAGTTCTGAAATCAATATTACAGATTAGCCGACACGAGTCCTCCATATACGCATACTTCCCTAAAAATGCTACTCAAAATCTAATTTAAAATTAATCATTTTGAATTTATATTTGATGCAAATTCGTTTAACTCTCCATACTTCACGAGTTTCTATATCACAGTACATTACATACAGCAGTACTATTTCTGATGACAACGATGATAAATTTGATACTTTTTAACTTTTTTTGTCCCTACCTAAGCTGATAGCCTTGAGAGGTTATTTCAGCGTAACCTTAACTAGTAGGTGAGCTCACGGGGCTCAAACCAGAGTGATGCTAACACTGACCCTAGCAAGAGCAGTGCTTCGCAAAATCTAACACCGGATCGGAAACGCGAGCCACCGAGAAGATCCGGCGAGAAACTCAGTGGGCTGTGTCTATGGGCTAATTCGCTCGTCGAGCCCTTCGTCGACGGGTTCGACGAGGACGGTGACCGGACTTTTTAATGCCTCCCCGACACGTCCAAGTGAAAAAAAACATCAGATTAAATTTTCTTATCAGTTCAAACCTTATAAATATTAATGAGCTTGAAAAATCATAGCGAATCCTCTTGTCCAACGTGGTTAAAGTTTTGAAAACATTAAAACCACACAGCTCTTTCGAGCAGGCTACACTTTCAAATCTTACGCACTCTCCTAACAAAACTTAAACTAGATCACGTCTACATTATTGTAGACGTGATTTACATTATTGTAGACGTATTGTCCAAAAATCTAGTAATAGGCTAGTAGTATTAAGTACTGTGTGGAACACAATTTTTACAGCATGAGGGCTTTGACATTAATTTAATTGATGTGCTTGCAACATTGTCGTCAATGACCATGATCATTAGTAAATGTGTGTTGGAATTGTCAGAAATAATAAAATTATAGCTATAATAATAGCAATAACTGGACAAATCGCGCACGGTCATTCGGCCCTAAATTAGGATTCCCTATGTAATTGGTACTAGAGACTGACATACATATACGTACATACGTTTAAATATATCATCATCATAATCGGTTGCTCTTGGCAGAGCAGTCGCGGTCATGTGGAATTCTTGCCTTGACCGATGTTTTCCATAGTTTGCGAACCGAGGCCCGGCGCACACACTCGTTAAGTGGGAATTCAGTAAGGTCTTTCACCTGATCAGTCCAGCGCATGGGGATTCTTCCACGAGATCTCTTACCATTGACCTTACCCTGAACAACAAGTTTCTCGATAGACTCTGCTGGCCGTCGCGATACGTGTCCAATTTCCAGAAAAATAGATATGGTATGATGCTCGGCGATGACCCAAAGTAGGATTGACCACCAGAAAAAACCGTGTCTTCGTAATCAAAAAGCATAATGATCATTCCACCTCAGATGTGGTCTCACTTTTTAATGTCCGCGGAACTATGTTCATGTTATTTACCGTTATCTGTAATTATTTTTAGTCGTTGAGTCACGCACCAGACAGCGTCCAGACAAATATAATTATGTAACAGAGGGAAGAACTTTGTAATGCAAATGATGCAATTCTATATTACACAATAATTCTCGTAATAGGTCATTCATTGCTTTCTCTGCGAAATCGAACGCCATCTACTGTGCGAAATCGAACGCCAACTACCGGTAAACTGTGACAGAGTTTTCTTTTGGATCATATCTTCTTTTTTTTATCCCTACCTATGCTGATAGCCTTGAGAGGCTATTTCAGCTTCTCCTTGACGTGTAGGTGAGCTCACGGGACTCTAAACGGGAGTGTTGCTAACACTGGCCCTAGCAAGAGCAGTGCTTCGCAAAATCTACCACCGGATCGGAACCGCGACCCACTGAGAGAATCCGGCGAGAAACTCAATGGGCTGTATATCTTCTTAGTAATACACTATTTTATTAGAGGTATGGCGAGGTTTTAATGCGAGAAGACGAAGTGTTCACGATTGACTTCCACGGTGGAGGAACATCGTGTAATAAAAATCAACCCATCGAAGCAAAAAAAAACATCCAAGAATTTAAAAAAAAAAAACGATCGTGAGTTATTAACATTAGAATACTTTTGCAATAAGCTTGTTACCGAATTGTGCAATAGTCAAAAAACAAATTATGACACTTGTGCATAATCAAAAATGATAAGGATAGCATATTGCGCAACGCACACTTTATTTACACTGATTACATATTTTTTTCTGTGACGTAATATTTTTCGCATAGCAAGTAGTCTTCTATATTTTCTAGTCTATTGTTAGTTTTTCAGAATACCTCCTTACTCCAGGTCGATGTGCGGGACTTCCACGGTGAAGGAATAACAGCGTGTAATAGAAATTAAACCCGCAAAATTATAATTTGCGTAATTACTGGTGGTAGGACGTCTTGTGAGTCCGCGCGGGTAGGTACCACCACCCTGCCGTGCCGTGAAGCAGTAATGTGTTCCATAGACATCTACAACGTAAATGCGTCACCCACCTTGAGATATAAGTTCTAAGGTCTCAAGTATAGTTACAACGGCTGCCCCACCCTTCAAACCGAAACGCATTACTGCTTCACGGTAGAAATAGGCAGGGTGGTGGTACCCACCCGCGCGGACTCACAAGAGGTCCTACCACCAATAATTACGCAAATTATAATTTTTACGGGTTTGATTTTTATTACACGATGTTATTCCTTCACCGTGGAAATCAATCGTGAACATTTGTTGAGTACGTATTTCATTAGAAAAATTGGTACCTGCCTGAGATTCGAGCACCGGGTGCATCGCTCAACACGAATGCACCGGACGTCTTATCCCTTAGGCCACGACGACTTCAGACGTATCATCTTTGGAGACTTTAGCTGATAAAACTCTAGTTCTTCCACGTTTCTGTATAGGGCAGCGGTCGGGGAACTTTTTTAATTATTACCCCAAAATATTTTTGTGTTAGTTGATATATTACCCCATGGCGAAGAACAAAAAAAAACGAAATCGCCTCTTTTTAGTATTTTTTATATTATAGCTCCCATGATAATTTTGAAAAGGAAACAATAACCAAAAATTTAACGATTCTAAAGAAGTTTCACTTCTATATATTTCTTTTACTCACAAAAGTTTCATTTTTACCCCCCAAAATTTCATTTTACCCCATTTGGGGTAATTTACCCCGATTCCCCGGCCTCTGCTATAGGGCAAGAGATAATTTTTATTATTAATAGGTTATTGGATTAGGATATTACGTTCACGTTTGCTTGAGATCTTAAGCGGTCATAGTAAGTCAGACCGCAGTAACATTTACGCGGGATACGGGTTCCCGTACATTGTCTTTTTTTTTTATGATTGAAGGATTACTGGTGGCCCGGAGGCCTTTCCAGTTTCACCAGGACATTTTTTTTTTTTTTTTTTTTTTCCTACCTAAGCTGATAGCCCTAGCGGCTATGTCAGCGTAACCCTAACTTTAGTAGGTGAGCTCACGGGGCTCAAACCTGACGATGTTGCTAACACGAACCCTAGCAAGAGCCGTGCTTCGCAGAATCTACCACCGGATCGGAAACGCGACCCGCTGAGAAGATCCGGCGAGAAACTCAGCGAGCTGATTCATGGGTTAGGTTGCACGGCAAACTCTTTGTCGAGTTCGACGAGTACGGTTACCGAGGTCCCTAAGCCTGCTCCTAGTGTTAGAGCTGAAGGCGTCTAATGCAAAGGTTATTGGATCTGATGGATCCGTAAGGACGTGTCTAGGGCGTCGACGGTGACTGGCTCCTGCGTGATCAGGATTCGGGAAGTAGTCAGCGGGGTACATTGTCATGGACCACACCAACTATACGGAGAGACCGCGTGTCACCAAATTCAGTATACTAGCATTGGGAAGAAATACGTTGTACTATATAATTCATAAGTACGTCTTACGAACTTACTACCAAGGACTAAGATCATGTGAGTGGCATTTGAAGAAAAAGAAGATTTTTTTTATTAAAATGATATACCTACAGGCGCTATGATTAATAGGGTTAAAATGACGTTATAAATTTTTCTATTATTTGTTATGTGTATGTTGTGTGTGTTGTCTGCTGTGTGTGTAATTTGTTATGTGTATATGTAGTGTATACACAACATACGTTGAATATGGTCGATATGGAATGGTTTGGAATTGTGGCCGGAGTCTTGATGTTTCTATCGGTAAATTGTTATCAATTTCCGCTGCTATTCTACTTATAATAATTAATGAAAATACTTTATGCTGTATAAAATAATAGGCTTGTATTTTGTGATGCTAAACGCATTCCCC